GGCCGCGCAGAAACATCGGGTTTTTGGCGTTTTTGGTTCCGCAGATCATGATAATTTGGACGCCATGTTAAGCCATGTTAAGAGCCGAAAGTGCCGATCCTGCCGTGATTTTCGCACATTGTTAACAAGCAAACTGGGGCAAACGAGGGCGATGGACCCTATGTCTAGTAGGTTCTTAGAGCATACTGAAAAGCAACTCTATAGGAAATAACGTTGAAGATTGCTCCCCCAAGGCCTTCGGGAGGGTTCTGGTGGCGCTCAGGTTCAGAGTTTATTGGTTGAGGGGTCAGGGTTTAGGTGTTTGGCGTTGAGTACCTATGTAGGGTTAGCGGTGTAAGGTCACAAGTTAACTTGTAGGATGTGTAGGTCATTCAAACGTTCCCGATCCTGAAGTGTCGTACATTGGCTTCGCCTACCCTCTTCTCACATAACATATACATACACTCGACGATCGCGTGACCAGTACTTTTTGCTATTCAGTTTCTTCTATTAAAGCTCAGTGCCAAGACAGCCTGCATGGTAGGCTGATGCAGCGTTGACCACGGCAACCTCGGAACGAGACATGGTGCAAAGCTTTATCTCAAAGGCACACGAGGAGTGGGCAACGCCTTGCGCTTGATGTGGCTACATCTACTTGCCAGATGCAGGACAGCCACCATGCACGCAAGGGGTGTAGAATGCACGGCTTCTGCAATAGGAATTACTATTATGGTTTGGGAAAGTATTCCCCATAGAGGTACATCGGACTCTTCGGGGCGGCACCAAGTGGGGGTTTCCGAAAATAGAGGACCCTAATAATATAGTACCCTAAATAGTAGGATCCCTATCATAAGGACCCCTAAATAAGGTACCCCTCATTATCAGGAACCCTAAACCCTAAACCCTCATTATCAGACACCCCCAAGTAGCCTTGCGCCCCCAAGACGTCAGCTCACATGCCACGTCAAGCAGGCGGCCTGTCGTCTCCACTGCCCAGAGACTCCAATATCCCTTAATTAAGGAACATTCCTTAAATCATAGTAGGATCCTTAATATGATTTAAGGTATATTCCCTAATTCAGGGATATTGGAGTCTCCGGGTGGTACTGGGAGCTCACGCAGCATGCATGGGACATCTTCTGGGTTCACATGTACCCCTAAGCTCCTCGGTAGGTCCTTTTTGGAATGACTTCATATGATCCTAAATGGGTAGTTTTCTAAATTAGGGTCCCTTTTAGGGTGCCGCACTATGCTGGGGGCCAAAAAAGGGACCCTAATTTAAAGAACTACCCAAATATGGGCCACAAAAATCAACTACAATGGAGCCGTTAAGTATATCCAGGGAGAATAGTCAAGGGTCTATATAGGTATATCCAGCTTGGGTGCCTAAGTGTGCTAAAATGGAATGGGAAAGGTAACGTAGGGGCCTTAATAATGAGAATAGGCTTTTGGGGCCCATTTTTACTGTAATTTTAATAAGGAGCCCCCCAAAATAGTATAGGTAATTCTTCAGGCCCCTACATTATTTTCGGTGGCAGGAGTGTTGCAGCGGACTCAACACAATCCCAACACTTGACATTATGCATAGGGTCACAGGGACCAATGCACGGCTAGATTCCAACAGGGGTAGATTGCCCGGCTTCCCTTCTATTCGTTATCAGGTCCGAAACCGCAGCCCGCAGCACAAACGACCTTTTAGGTTTGAGGACGCATCGCACGTATTGAACTGTACACGGCATCGAGTTGGTCAGGGGTTTACGGGCTTGCTTGTCTATAGAACCCTTATAGTACACTCCCAAAGGGTCCCAGGTACTGTTATGGGGGATACTTTCCTATAGCATAATAAGGATTCCTAATATAGAAACCCTACATTCTACTATATAGGTACTTTGGACCTTTTGGGACTTAGATCGAACCGTCATAAAGAACCGTTTTGGACCCCTAGGCTAGGTTAACGCTTGCTTGAGGCTTGAGGGTCCTGAAGCCTACACCCTCAAAACCCCACCCGCAGACGGCAGAGGGCACCTAAACCCCAAAACGGAACCGGCCTATGCCATAGGCTTTAGGTTGTAACCTCAAGGCCTAAACTCACCAAAACTCAGCGAGATTGCGGCTTTCCTGGCGCATGGCGCTGCAGCCGCGCTTTTGGGGCCCCCTTCTGCATCGCGTGGGGTCCATGGACAAGGCGTGTTTGTGCCTGGGCGGTTTAGGGCTGCTTAGGGTTTATGGGCTTAGGGTTTAGGGGTTTAGAGTTTAGGGGTTAGGGTGTAGGGCCTAGGGCTTAAGGATTAAGTAGGGATAGAAGTAGTATAAGCAGGGTAGCCACAGTTGCATATATCTACATCTAACCCCATTGAGCATATGTCAGGACTATAAGGCTCGATGCAGGGCTTCGGGGATAGGGTTCTCAGGGCTCTTTGTAGGCTCTATAAAGATTCTCAAAGTGCACCTGAAACTACCATAAACTACCAGATTCCTACCATAAACCCTAAGGTAGAGGCTGAACGGACCCTACAAAAAGCAGGTTTCGGTGGCTCTCAGGGCAGAATGCTGCAGTGCTTCTGAGGTCCTTAATCTCCATGTTGCGCACCAATATGGGTAGTTTTCTAAATTAGGGTCCCCTTGTAGGGTCCTTTTTAGAAGGGGGGCCGTACTATATTAGGCAACACCGAACCCTAAGCCCCAAACCCTAAACCGTAAACCCTGAATATTAGGGACCTACAAAGGGACCCTAATTCAGAGAACTACCGAGAAAATAGTAATTGAGAGGCCCGAGGGCTCCGGTTCCCTAAATAGTGGGTTAGGGTTTTGAGTTTAGGGCTTGGGGTTTATAGGGGTTAGGGTTTAGGGTTTGGGGTTTAGGGTTTAGGGTTTAGGATTTAGGGTTTAGGATTTCTGCTATTTGGGTAACTGCAGGTTTAGGAAGAGATGGCCGTTCTGCATCCGACGAAGGGCGCGCAGCGCGGCAACCGCAACCAAGTCGAACTGCCGGCCGTCCAAGACATATCCACCTGGTTGTTGGTGTTCTTGTCAATTTGGATGATTAGCATCGCCGGCGACAGATTGGATGTCCATAAATACCTATCCTATAACTTACTCATCGTTTCAGGCATCGTTCCCTCTTTTAGTTGGGCTCATGATTTTTCATCATGCGCACTCGAGCCGTCATTTGTTCATCATTTGGGGGCTCACGGTCTGGGTTTAGGACTGAAGACAAACGAAGTGCCCTAGCGGCAGTGATGACGGAAAGGATGGAAAAACGAAGCGGCCCAGCCGACATGAAGAGAAAATGATGACAAAACGAAGCGTCCTAAAAGAAATGATTCAACAAACGTGGGGGGAAAGGATGAACAGAATGATGAACAAAACCATGAACAACAACGATGAAAACATGAATCAACTTGAAGATGCTCTAGGAAAAAACGCTCATTTCCTCCCGCCCACCCACCCTCCCCTCCAGCCTCCCCTCCTTTGCCCCTTCCCCCCCTGCACCCTTCCCGCCCCCCGCCCCTCCTTTCCCCCTCCCGGCCCTCCCCGCCCTTGTCCCCTCTCCATGGCTTTGGCAGACACGGCATGTTAGCCAACGGTACACACATCAAAAGGAAATTATGCAACGAACCATGGCACAAAGAACAACCAGAATGAAAACCATGAAAGGAATGACCCTGCAAATGATGAACACATGATAGAGTAATTCATGTTGAAACTCATAGTCTGTCCACAGGAAAAGGTCATAATGCTAACTGGGCTTAGAATGCTTTTGTTACTGTTTGCCGGATGCCAAGCCATCTAAATCTAAACCCCAAGCATCAACAAGCTACATAGACGCCTGATCTTCAACACCGAATCTGAGTGGCCCACTTGCCTGATCGTTGCCTAGACTCGAGTCATCTACAAGCGTGCAGGGTCTCTGGAACATTCCCTAAGGGTCCATGTACTCATATAATATATACATTGGCCCCAAAGTACCTATATAGGGATTAAGGCCAAAGTATGTACTATTTGGGGGTTTCCGAAAATAGGGGACCCTAATATAGCACCCTAAATAGTAGGATCCTTATTATAAGGACCCCTAAATAAGGTACTCCCTATTTTCGGAAACTCCCGTTTGGGTACATGGACTCTCAGGGAGTATGTGGGTTGCGCACTACGGACTCCATGTGTCGACAGCACCTGTAGTCTCCATTGTAGTTCCTTCTCGGGGATACCGAAAAATCCTTAATATGAAATTGGTCAAGCCAAAAAAAGAACTACAATGGAGACTACAGGTAAACCCTAAACCCTCAACCCTAAACCTAAACCCTAAACCCTATGGTTTCATAAATACCTGGCAAGCAGGGACCTTCAACCCCAGAGCTACTGGGCCGCTCCGTGTACGACCCCCACCCCGCGGGCATGTAGGTATCTTGTACATTAAACTCAAACATACATCCCAGATTCGACACTCCCGTAGACGCCTAAAGACCCCAAGCGCAAAGCTCGGGGAGCCTAATTAGAGCCCGACTGCATGGGTCCAAAGAGTCTAATGAGTGGGAACTTGGGTCGTGTACGTTTAAACATCTCGAATTTTAATTGGATATTTGGGTTATGTTCAAGCATTTAAAAAAACTCTACGAGAACTGCCCATGTGGTTTTTTAGGTGCTTCAACTCCGAGGGCTACATGCGACGATCGCCTGCGTTACATACGGCGATCGTCTCCTCCGCGGCGCTGCGCCTCATTTGCCGCTCGCCGGGGCCGTTCGCCTGCAAGCATCCGGGCTTGATGTACTCGTTTTTTCATGTGTATATAGTTATACCCACCTACATACATACATACATACATACATACATACATACATACATACATACATACATACATACATATCATCAAAGACATGTTACATGCCTTGTATCCATACCTCTCTCCCTGCCTACCTGCCTGCCTGCCTACCTTCCTTCCTACCTACCTTCATTCATGCATTCGCTCAGCCACGCATACATCAGTAACGTATCTCAGAAATATTTACACAAGTGAACAAGCTGTTCGGAACAGGAAGGAAGTCGTAGCATCATGCTCATCCGTGTGGAGAGTCTCAGGCATCTCAGGATGCCGGATCAGACCCTCCCGAAGACATGGGCTTGAAGAACCATCACCGTCCCCCTGCCATGTGTAGGGTTGAGGGTTTTGCCATGTCGGGCGACACCATGAACCCTAAACTCTAAACTGTCTGCACCGCGACTTCCGAAGCATCCGAAACGTTCCCAATCAATGATAGCTGAACCTGCCTGTACAAGGACGGTGGCGGGTAAGACTGATTCAGGTCAAAGCACTTGAGGCGTCTTGGGCAGTGAAAGATTATAACAGAACATAACTGAGTAACTCAACACTTCCCATGCAGCCGTCCAACCCTGAACCCTAGACCCCCAAACCCTAAACCTTCTGCAGCCCAGGACCCAGGAAGCAAACAACTAGCACATCGAGCTCAAACGATCTCGGACTGCAGACCAGCCTTTCTTTTCGCCTCCCCAGCACTTCCAAATTCCGTGAACCCAGAGGGTCCGAGTAATTACACAAATAGCAAGGTTCTAGGTCCCAAAATCCAAATTCTGCGTGGTTTTTGGACCCTGAAACCCTACTATTCGGGTTAGGGGAAGGCTTAGGGTTCAGGGTTTAAGGGTTTAGGGTTTAGGATTCGGTGCTCTCCAAGATCGATGCAGCCGAAGCCACTTTTCGTATCCAGTCATAGTCCGGCCCTGTGTATGAGCACCGGGAGATGGTAAGGTGGAGGCGGCAGTGTAGGGTTTAAGGATTAGGGGTTTAGGGGTTTAGGGGTTAGGGGTTTAGGGATTAGGGGTTTAGGGGTTTAGGGGTTTAGGGTTTAGGGTTTAGGGGTTTAGGGTTTAGGGTAAGACCGGAACAGGCAAACGTTGAATGAAAGACACTGCAGAGAGTAAAAGCTAGGAATTTCTAGAAAATATAAGCCGCGACTAGCGATGAAGGTAGTAGCAGTGGGACAAGCAGTAGCAGCGGGTGTACGTAGCGGTAGCACCCGTGCTTAGTCTTGCTGTCATGGTGGTGGTGAGAAAGTACATTCTTGAGGTAGCGCTGATGATTACTTTTCACCATGATGTGACTTTTGCAGCTTTTCGCGCGCAAGACCTCTAGCTTTACAGAGAGGCTTATGGTTCAAGCTCTTCTGCAGCATGCTTCGACTTAAGTTTTGGCAGGTCAGAAGCTTGAGGGCTGCCGTTGTATACGATGTCATGGTTTCAGGTAGCCAAACACTTCCAATGAACGCAGCAACTCCGGCTTTCTTCGCTGGGTTGAAAACGCCAAACCTAAACCCTTAATCCTAAACCCTAAACCCTTAACCCTTAAACCCTCAAGCCCAGCAACGTGGGCCGCAGTAGTACCGCTATACACCTGAACCCTAAACCCTAAACCGTTACAACCCGTCTATTGACCCTAAACCTTTTGTGAGGGCTTAAGAAAACTGGAGCAGAGCTGGATCTGAAAACCCACCAAACACCCTACCACCACTGTTGTTATCATGTTACCCTTGCTGGTACATATTAGTACTGAAGTCGTAATACTAGTTTAGCCATGATGATGATGATGATGATGATGATGGCGAGGATGATGATGATGATGATGATGGTGATGATGATTGTTACCATTAGCCCTGAACCCCAAACCCTGAACCCTAACCCTAAACCCTGAGCCCAAAATTACTAAACCCTAAACCCTGAACCCTAAACTGCTATACTGAGAATACTACCAACACCAGCACCACCACCACCTTCGCCAACTCCAGCCCCGAGACAAACACGAGACAGCCTCAAGCTAAGGGCTGCGGGTTTAGGGTTGGGGTTTTAGGGTGTAGGGTTGAGGCTTTAGGTTTTAGGGTTTAGGTTTTAGGTTTTGGGGTTTGGGGTTGAGGTTTTAGGGTTTAGGGTTTATAAGACTAGGGTTTGAGGTTACTGGCTGAACGTCCACAAGCTACACCCAGCAGCTGAGAACCTGAAAGCCAGGAAGAAGAAGAGCTTCTCTCCTAAATCCTGAGGCCAGGAAGCCTCAACGAACTTTGGGTTTAGAGTTTTGCGGTTTAGGGTTTGGGGTTCAGAAAGGACTGTTGCGTGGGATGGACTTTGGGTTTAGGGTTTCGAATATGATCACCGCCCACCTTGGAGTCACCGAGGCAACTGCCCGAAAAGTAGGTGAATCTAAAGGATAGGCACCCGTGCTTGTTTTCTTACGGCGCTTCACCGAAAACGACAAGGACACACTTCAGGGCTCAGGGTTTGGGGGTTTAGGGTTTCAAGGCTTTGGGATTTAGTCTTAGAGGTTTTGGGTGTTTAAGGTTTATGGTTTAAGGCTTCGGGGTTTAATCCTCAGCTCCCGCGCGACTCCAATCTCGAGCAAGTATCGGTCCCTGAATGAGAGGATCCCGATCAGAACTTTCAAACACAATCATATCCCCATAAACTAGGCTACGGTATAGCATTGTCATTATAAGGAACATTACCCATAGTGAATTATGAATTAGAGGGACCCCACTAAGGGGGTATGGCAAATGGAGTTTGCTAGCAGAAGCTGATCGTCGGAAAGCAAGGCCTGCCAAGCATTAGCAACGGCTGGCAGGCCTTAGTAGAGCCTAGCAAGCCTTTGTAGTTT